GAGGATGTCAGTGCCTACAACGTCTGTATAAAAAGCTTTTCGCCAGCGTCAATAATTAATTACCCCTTGATAAAATATCGAAAAAATAAAAATTTCTTTTTGTTCAAAATTTCAAAGAATGCTTCGAATAAAAGTTGTAAGTACTACTGCTACCTGAGAAAATACAATTTTCTTCTATCTCGAACATTTCAGGACTAATCGATTAATTATTTCATTTATCATCAATTATTCCTTAACGAGTGGACTTAGAAGTAAATGGCATAAGACCTTATTTGTATCTGGCAACTACATACAAAATAAAATCTTTCAAATTCATTTTTAATCAAAAAGTCTGTTCAGTTTGTCGCGCGAATAGTTCGAATCGAATGCCGTGCGCAATTTTTCAGCGACGACTCGAAGTTAGATAGAAGAGAAGTAAGTAGAAGAATTTACATAGTAAAATGTCTACTGCTCCTTGACACCAATTAACCCGGTTGATCGAAGTCCGACTGTATCACATGGATTCCCTTTGCTCGCGTTTCATTGAAACTTTCGCAAACTAAATTCTTCAGTTTCCCGTTCGCTAAATTCGAACAGCTAAATTATACAGTGTCATTAACAGGTACTTCGAAGCTGATATTTAAATAAACTTAGAATAATTACTAAAATATTTATTGTCATTACGTAGTTTTGCCTTTGCTTAAATTTTAATCAGTTACGTAGCGTCTGATGTTTATATTAATTAGAAACAGATCCTTTCCACGCAGTCAGGTCGACTTTCCTCGTCAGTTCCGTCCACCTCTAACGGCAGTTCGATGCAGGGTCAGACAACCACTATCAGAAGCAAACTGGCTACAAGAGCCAAGACACCAACTTCTGCTTCAGTATCGCAGAGGGGATCAACTTCTGGCAAAACTCCACCGTGTCCAGCCGCCGCGTAAGAATTTAGTAATTGCCTTCTGATCACGAAATTATTGAATATTACGATTAGAAATAAAGAAACGATAATACTTTCGTGGCGTTCAATTTATTTCGTCATGTACAAGAAGAATTGGATAAAATTACTGTTCTACAATAGGTAGCTCTTTAGAAAATGAATTTTTAATTGCTCCAGCGATAGTCTGGTTCCCTGCAAAATATGCGGCCGCCGTTTTGCACAGGACCGGGTGACCCTTCATGAGCAAATATGTGCAAAGACAGCTCAAAAAGAGAGGAAAAAGTTCGATACGACAGCGTTTCGAGTAAAGGGCACCGACATCGAGCCATTTTATAAAAAGGGTCTTCTCAAAAAGCCGCTCGAGGTCAGTATACATATATTTTATCCTAATCTCAAGTCGCCGTCCCCTGTCCTATTTTCCCTTGTCTACCCGCAACTTCTGATCTCACTTTAATAAGAAGTAGGACGAGGGACACCGTTTTGTAAAGAGTGGAACGGTGGTCGGTTGTCACGTTTCAGAGATCGAAGAAACCGGAGGTGAAGACGAACTGGCGTCGTAAACATGAAGACTTCATCAAGGCCATACGCTCGGCCAAGGAAGTGCAGGCGCATCTGGCCGCGGGTGGGAAACTCAGCGACCTGCCCCCGCCGCCGGTCAGCGACAATTGCGATTACATTCAGTGTCCCCATTGCAAGAGGAGATTCAACCAGGCCGCTGCCGAGCGTCACATTCCCAAATGCGAGCACATGCTGCACAACAAGCCGATACATTCGCGGGCACCGAAACCAAGGCGCTAACCGACCAACCGAACGACCTTTCTTTTTCCTCTTCTTTAAACGTAATTAAATGCATACATGCTTCGATCGGGAACAAGATAAGTGAAAGTGCCTTTGTTATAGGAAAGAGAAGCTTGAAATAAAAATCGTAAAAGAGATCGTAAAGAAAATATAAAATTTTTATATCGTACGAGAGGATTGTATATCGTAATGTAGTTTGCCCCCTTGTACAAAAAATAAAATTTTAACACGGACCGTTTTAACGACCCCCGTTTTTATCTTGTTCTCGCGTTCGATAACGATTTATACCAAGATTTTATTATGCAATTACCAAGAAACTTTTATATACGATCTTGAAGAGAAACTTTGCGGACCATCGGTTGCCTTTACGCAACGATACTGTTTATTAGTGAAAGCCGTCTAGAGCCGAAGGATTAATCATTAGCACAAAAAGTTTTGATTTAATATTACAAATAATTGTGATTTATTTTGTATCTATGTGGACAGATATGAAAATGAACGATATTTCTAAGTATAGCGCTTAATCTTCTTAATGAACGAAAGTATTGTAATATCATTGTTAATTTACTGGGTTCTAATAAACTAACTTTTTAGTAGAAAAAAAAAAATTAAGTAGATGACAATAAATTTATTTCTCCAATGGCAAAAATAATCCAAGTGTTTAGCAGACGGTTTCCGGAGTGCGGAGGAAGGAATTAAGTATATTTTGAACTTTTACAATATTATAATTATATTTATGTACAAATGACGATTATAAATCATACAATTACTTGCTCCTATATTCAATATATAAAAATAATTAGCTTCTATGATATTAAAAGTAGTAGTAAGGTAATTGTTGCACCTCCCATTAAATTTTAAAGTCAGGAAAGCTACCGGTTTCTAATGGCGCGATTACCACGAAAGGCACGTAGAGTTTCATTACACGATAATTATCGCATTCGAAGAGGATTTATAACTTTGCTTTGGGCACGCAATTGGAGGTACACTGACTATTTTTCTCCTTACGAAAAACCTTCCTTTTTATGCACAATAAAAATTCTACACCTACAATAGAGCATCTGTTTCTCATTAAATACGTTATCCGCGTTCTGTATACGTTCACAGGTCTGACTTCACGTTTAAAAATACTTCCTCTGATTGTACATAATTCTGACGATAAATTGTCTATTCGAGAAAAATTGTAAACGTAGATCTCTCTATATATATTTAAACTGCGGAATAATATATTACACATTTATACATTAGAGGTACGAATCGGATAGAGATTGACTTATTTTTATTAAATTAAGTAACGATTTTATATAAAAATATTAATATATAAAGAGCGACATAAATAATCAAGTGCATTTTTACAAATTATCATACGAGATAAAAGACATTGTACAAAACGAATCGCTTTAAATAGTCGATGATACGATATCAAAGTGAGGACGTAGAAATAAATAATAAATAGATTTTAGTTTTAATATATCGCTCGATGTCATATACATACACACTGCCACGTTAACTGTTACCGCTTAGATAAAATAAATAGTAGTTCCTCGAGATTCTTCTTTTTTTTTAATTATCGTTTTTTTCATATTTCTCTTAAGGCACCGCGTTGTAGGTGAGTTTGCAAGAATGTCGCGAATGAAAAGACTACACTGCTCGTAATCACTTCTAAATCAGAAGTCGTCCCTAACAACATTACGTAAACGTAATCCACGAACGCCCGGCCATTTAATTACCCAAAAACGTGGGTATCAATGGTCTCTTATACAAAGTGTACTTTATAATCGTTCTATAAAGAAGGATCGTGCGTTATTGTCCGCGACAATCTCGGTGCACGCATCGTGTGTATAATAATACTATTTGTATCTTATAAAAGAGAAAACATCTCGAAAAAGTGGCGCACATTTTCGACTAAACATTTTTCCAAAAATACGTTACCTACGTACACGTTCATCGCGCGTAGTGGACTTTATAGGAAGAGTCATTAGGAAAACAGTTACAGGCGCATGAAACGCATTATTGCTTTTCTTTCTGTTAGCCTTCGCCGTTAATAATTACGCAGTCGTAAAAACAAAAATTTGCCTACCTCGTAAAATAATATCCTTTTAGTTTCATGGAAACCGTCGTATACCACAGAGCGTAGTAAAGCATTTTCCTCGACGTGCTCTCTCAAGTCTATTCGTTAAAAAATACCATCGGATTCATCTCAATAAACTATTCACACATTTAACACGCGTAAAATAAACCGCGGATACGTTAGATTCGTACGCGTGCCTCGCGTTCAATGAACAAAACACGAAATATAAATGCGTCTTTGAGAATACTTATACAATATACAACGTATCACCGCACGTGATCGATTCAGTGAGTGAGTATTAAAATCGATGTTTCTGAGATATAATACTTTTAGCTCTTCGATTCAAAGAGGACAAGCACGTTGCATTGTTAGCGATGCGAGAGCACGCGATTAACTCTGAACGTTATTCGAAATTCATCCGCAAACTCTGTTTCTTCGTTAATATGAAAAGGCAGTGAACGGACTTCGTACGATCTAAGTACGGTTCAGGAAACTAAAACGTGTCATGTTAAGACAAAAAAAAAAGGAACGCGAATAAAGTCAGTTTGTCGTAACGCTTTTCGTTACTCGCGCATCGCTACGCGTTTTTTTCTTTTTTACTAAAAAGAGATAGAGGAAAGGAAACTATATAAATCTATCCTAGTCAGCCTTCTGTGTGTTCCCGCTTTGCATGGTATTTGAGCAGTAGCTGCCGGTCCTCCCGGTACTTATTATTAGTGTTTGTTTGGGTTAGAGTCTGAATCCGGTTCAGAACTGGAACCGGAAGACTCCCCAGCATTAACGTTCGCACTGCAGCGCGAGCTCCTTCGGCTAGTGGAGGTCGTGTGCCTGCATTTCTCGCTACGATCCACTGTGCCTACAATAATTTTTACATAGAAATCAGTACCTCGTAAAAACACCGTTTTTGTGCAAAATTTATCATATACAATCGCTGAAATTACAAGAGATACTTACTGGTTAACGGTGTATGAACTTCGACCTTTATATTAGCTGTGGCAGTAACCTTAGTAGTGATATGAGACGTGGACGTCACTGGTGACATTCGACTAGACCCGCTTGTATCTGATCCGCTACAGTTCTGTTAGTTATAAACAAAAGCGCACACGTTAATCATGCTTCGGATCGCGCGTAAGCGGTAATCAAGTAATCTGGGGTACAGCCATGGAAATTGAAAGCAAACAACAGATGTTCAAAAACACCCTCAAATGTGTATTTTTCAGGAAAGAAATAACTATGAAAAAATATTACAAAACGGAAGACGTACCTGATTACCGCAAGTTGACGTCGTCTCGACCTTCAATTCCGGTTGTACGATGATACAGGACTCTTGCGTGCTGTGCCACGAGTTGGGCTCCTCGGTGATCGTAGTCAAAGAGGGTTCAGCATGCAATCTAGCGTTATCAATTTTGTACGATCTCCTGGGAGGCGCCGGCGGTTTCGATCTCCTGACGATCGGCGAGGCAGGCGGTGTCGGCGTCGAAATACGATCCGGATGGTCGTTCGGTATCACCTCTGGAGATGGTCCGATCAGGGACAGTAAAATCGGGAAGAAGAACAGTCCGTTTATCAGACCGATCCCGATAAGACACAACAACACCAGGAAGAAATATCGAACGATGAAGTCGAACTCCGAGAAGGCTAGCATCACGACTGCCAGCAGAGTCGTCAACGCTCCATGAATCACGGGGGCATACATGTGTTCCAGAGCTAAACGAATCCTCCGATCCCTGCTTCCAATACTCGTAACAAAACTCTGTGACAAATAAATAAAAAAAGGTAAATAGAAAATAGAAAATTATGAATTAAATGAAATCGTATTATAAAATTATATTTATACTAACCAGACAAATGTGCACCGTAAAGTGTACGGCAATTCCTACGCTAACCACCAGAAGAACAGCCGGAACGGCGCTAAGTTTTATATCGCAGAGGCCCATGATCCCAAGCAGCTGTAGAACGACGGCAGCGAGAGATGTTCCGACCAACACTGCTGCCCAAAAATTCAGCAACAATATTCCGACGACAGCAACGCTGGCCGTTAAAGCAGCTAGCAGAGCGATACCCAAACAATTTCTCAAATCCATGTACTGTTCCCAAAAGAGGAAAGGAATACCGGAAGGAAAATTTGGAAGGCCTCGCTCTTCGAATTTCTTGCATAATTTTCTAACGCTGCCGATTAGCTCGGTGATCTCTTTCGTGTCCGTAAGCTTATGCAAATAAAACGGCATTTGCGCGTATGTCAATGGCATGCTCTTTGGAATTTTCAGCTCGTGATCGTTGGTATAAATCCACTGCCTCGGCTCAGGCCTTAAATTCGCCTGGGAGGCACCGTAAGCCAGCATGTCGTTCGACACCCACGCGCTCAAATAATTATAAAAAGCTCGCGGATTGATGATCCCCTCGGAATCGACGAGTCTGACTTGAGTGACCAGCGACTTATCGATAGGATTGTCAACGTGGCCAGTTTGAACTAATAGTTTGTAAGCCAATATCGCCTCGTCACTGGCGTTCTTGTACCACCTCTCCTGAGTAATGCAACCGCTACTATAATCTNAATTATATTTATACTAACCAGACAAATGTGCACTGTAAAGTGTACGGCAATTCCTACGCTAACCACCAGAAGAACAGCCGGAACGGCGCTAAGTTTTATATCGCAGAGGCCCATGATCCCAAGCAGCTGTAGAACGACGGCAGCGAGAGATGTTCCGACCAACACTGCTGCCCAAAAATTCAGCAACAATATTCCGACGACAGCAACGCTGGCCGTTAAAGCAGCTAGCAGAGCGATACCCAAACAATTTCTCAAATCCATGTACTGTTCCCAAAAGAGGAAAGGAATACCGGAAGGAAAATTTGGAAGGCCTCGCTCTTCGAATTTCTTGCATAATTTTCTAACGCTGCCGATTAGCTCGGTGATCTCTTTCGTGTCCGTAAGCTTATGCAAATAAAACGGCATTTGCGCGTATGTCAATGGCATGCTCTTTGGAATTTTCAGCTCGTGATCGTTGGTATAAATCCACTGCCTCGGCTCAGGCCTTAAATTCGCCTGGGAGGCACCGTAAGCCAGCATGTCGTTCGACACCCACGCGCTCAAATAATTATAAAAAGCTCGCGGATTGATGATCCCCTCGGAATCGACGAGTCTGACTTGAGTGACCAGCGACTTATCGATAGGATTGTCAACGTGGCCAGTTTGAACTAATAGTTTGTAAGCCAATATCGCCTCGTCACTGGCGTTCTTGTACCACCTCTCCTGAGTAATGCAACCGCTACTATAATCTTTATCGAAAGCATTCTGCAATCCTTTAAGCCAGTCTCGGAACAGGCTCAACCAAAACTCGGGCAAACCGCCGTTATCATTTTTTATCACGTTCTTTATCCTCATGAAAGCTTCGTGGAATTCGTACAGCAATTTTTGATTGTTAGGATACTCGAATTCCCTCTGGGTAACGGCGTACATATTATAGAAACCGAAGTGTTTCGCTTGCGCGGCTAAGAAAGCGTGCTCGTTCGAATTCTGCGGGACCAGGTCAGTCAACTCCAGCCCGTCGTTCACTCTTACAGCTTGCCAGACACTGCCGACCAGCACCGCGATTAGGATCATCATACCGAACACCTTCGTCGCTGGTCTCGTAACAAACGGAGCGTAATGCCTCGCGGCCATTTGCGTCAGTGAGAAACTGAGACAATCGTCTTGGCTGCATCCCGTTAGAGTATCCTCCTCGCTGCACTGTTTATCCGAGTCCACTTCGATGTTACCGCCGACCCAGGACTCGTTCTGTGCGTTCTGCGACGTCAAGATTTGCGTGCAAGTCTCGCGACGCTCAGGTGGAATCGCCCTCGTTACCGTTTGTTTAGCAGTGCCGTTGCCCGTTCTACTCGCGTACCTGTTCCTCCCAGCGTTCGACGGCAGGCAACAACACAAAATGTCTGAACGACCGGAACGACGTCTCCTCAGATCAAGGCTGACCATCGCAGGGAAAACCAGCAGCATAGCGGCGAGGTTGAACAGCAATAGTATGCCAGCTTGCAAACAGAAGACTCTGAGCGCGGGAATCGGGATTATCGCAGCGGCGAAGAAAGCGGATACGTTGCAGATTCCTGCCAGGAGGACGGATAAGCCGGTTCTCTTCAGAACGACTCCCGTCTGCTCTCCGCTGGGCACTTCGTTCACCGAGAGTTCGGCGTACGTGTGCGTTAATAGGAACATGTCGTGAACGCCGAGGCCCAATGCTAGGAACGGAACGATTTGGGTAGTCGCCGCGTTAAAAGGGATTCCTAAGAGGGCGCAGAACCCCAAACCCGCCGCCACCGTCGCGCAGATTAGCATCACGCCGGCTATACCGACGCCAGCTTGCGAGCGCACTGGATCTTTCCATCGCAGCAGGACTATACCTGCGTACAGTACCTGAAACAAAAGGAACAATCCTTCGTTACTTAAAATAACGAATTCGTCGTGTAATATTCCTTAAAAGTGCAAGGTGCATATAGAATTGTAAATCATTAAAAATATTGTAAATTTACCACTAACCATTAGTGCGCAGCCAATAGCGATTTTCATAACGGGCACCTCGCTGTACTTCCCAAGGATATCGTTCATAGTGGTCGTACTGAACGCGTATAAATTGTACGGGGCCGATCCGTTCGTGTCCAAATGTTTCTTCACTTGATTGCTGAACGCTCGTTGCCAGGTTTCCAGCACTTGGGCCGCCTTCTCCTGGGACCAGTCGATGTGGTGTACCTTGTAGGTGCCCGCGAAAAAATCGTAAAGTTCTCGCTCTCCCATCAGCTGCACGACGGTCTGCAGCGCAGCTGCCCGGGTCAAGTGACCGGTCTTATTGTGCTTAGCACCACCGACGAGCAGCTCTTCGGGCCAGTGCATGTATTTCGCCGCGAAACCGTAACAGCCACCGGTTAACTCGGCTCCGATGTCTGGTACCTGCCGAAACAAATTACAAACCAGTGTGATAAGTTCAAATTTTAATTATCGACAGAACTGTTAAAATCATTGAATGTTTATTAGATTGGCGAAGGTTTCTTTGGTATAAAAGAATAAAATTGTATTTTAGTTAGATTTCACTTTGCTTGAACTTTTCGTTGTTTCAACAATCTCATTATACGTTCGATACTTTTAAAACGGTCTGTTTATTTTTTAAGAAGGTTCGCAGTAATTGATTTCATAGAGAATTCCAGAGATCATTATTCAGGGAAACGTGATACCTCAAACGGAACACCACCTGTAACATTACTCCCTCCCATCCTCATTAAGCAGACACTAATGAATTGTGAGACTGTTACAATGGATTCGTTGCAGAGAATAAGTCCCGGCGCAGTTCATCCCTGTCCGCGTTATTTATCTTGGCATGATATAGAGAACTATTGGACAGGGTCCAAGCAACTAGACGGCGATCATTTAAAGTCCTCGCTGGTATGCTCCTTTTATAGGTCCCCATAAAATCTCGCTGTGAGGTCCGCGATACACTAGGCCACCCACTGTCCTCTCACTTACGATCGCGTTTTTATCATTTTCTGACCCACCTAAAGAACGCCCATTCAAGCCCTCTTTCCAGCAATCGAATTCCTCACGGGACAACAGCTTCTACATATTTTGAATCACGTTCTCAAAATTACTTGTCAAAAATGTGATTCCGTATATGCAAAATAGCAATTCTCAATCATACGAAATAACGATAAGAAATATTTCGTAATATAAAAGAAAAATGATTGTGATTGATTAAACTAGATCTGAAAATGATACGCAAAAGTGAATATAAAAAATAATATTGCAGGTGAATGAACTTTACGCATGGCATACGTGAATGAGCATAACGTGACAGTATGTTTTGGACACTGCAGTGAAGTGCGTGAATGAATTCTACGAATGCACGTGGAGTTTCGAGTACAACGAGACACGCGATATGAGTATGCGATGCGTGTTTACGATAATATTGAGTGCCACCAAATAAGGGTTTACTATAGCGCAATGAAGCCGAATCATTCTCATACCTAAGAAAATTGATCGAGGAATGTATCTGGTATCAATTACCACTTTCAAATCGTTGAAAAAACGAATACAAGAGTGATTATCACCCTGTTAATAAAATTTGCTTTCTTACTATTCTCATTCCAAATTTTACTTCCTCTCGTACTTTAAAAGTCCATACGCGCTATTATTGGCCGACGATCATTGATTATGTGATTACCTCTGAGTAATTTCGAGTTTGAGGAAATCACCGGTGAGAATGTGGCGGCGGAATGATAAAAACGTGAGAGACACCGGGAACACGTTACTCGCATACTAACGAGCCGGTATTAATTACCTGCAATTAATTCGTTGGGTTATCGCATAGCAATTAAGCAAACGACCAAGTCACGCAGAAATTGAGCTAGGCACTTTATTTTTACCTCGTGCAACATTTTCGATAATATATAATAAGTGAAA